AAGACCTCTTATCATACAACCCTGCAATGGGTGAAGTAATAAAGCATAATGGTGGCGAGAAACAACTTCAACATACCACGGAAGAACAAGATGGATTGGCAAAGCCAGCAACCACACAGAACATATCAATAAATGCAGACATTGGTTTAAGCAGCTAGTTGTGGCAAAAAGAAGTTGCAGGTGTCGTGTTTGTTCAAAATCAGACCATAGTTGTGGCAAAAGAATGTTGCTAGTGTAGTATCCATTCAAAACCAGACAATAGCTATGGAAAAAACAAATTGAAAGTGTGGTATCCATTCAAAATCAGACCATGGCTGTGGAAAAAAGAGGTAGCAAGTGTACCATCCATTCAAAATCAGACAATAGTTGTGGCAAAAAGAAGTTGCAGGTGTAGTGTCCATTCAAAGTGGCCGGCCAAGGAAGACTCTACCTGGGACTCCGTGAGCTTGAGGGGCCGGTCTGCCACCTCAAGTGACACAAATAACAACAACAGAGCACTTGGGTTGAAAGGATGCTCACTCCCGTGTATTAATGAAGTAGGAATTAGTAAAACCAAAAGAGTCAAAGTAAAGATCATTTAAATCCGAAGGCACGTTCTTAAAAATACATGAGGGTGTAAGTTTATGAATGTGCATTTGATAACCTCTTTATGCTTTCCTCCCCCTGTATGCTTTCCTCCCCTCTTCCGCAAATTCCTGAACATGTTATTCATAATCTCAGTTTTAATTTTTATTTCTTTAAAAATAAACAATAGTTAATATAATTTTACCCTTCCAAAGAAATAGGACGAAAGCATGTTCTTCTTCTCCGTATGGGTGGAAGGGTCTTCTTCACCATCTTGAACCTCCACATCTTGGCCCTTCTTGGCTAAATTCTGTATCTTGCTTTCGGCTTTAGACGTCGAAGCCGCTTCGTCGAAGGTACAAAAGAACAAGTCATCAAAATCTTTGTGATTATTCAGAACCTCAATAAAGCTCTCAACGGATGCCTCCATTTCTGGATACCCGTGGGGGTATCCAAAGAGAATCCCAGCTGCGTTGGCATCTCTAACCTGCAAGTTAACAGAGAAAGCTGATAAACTGATCCCTGCCTAAGGTTCCTTTTAATTGATAAGACAAAACAAAAGTTGGATTGGCTTTTATAGTACTCTCAAACTCTTGAGTATCTAACTCAAAGAGGGCAAAAGCAAGCAAAAATACCCAACACTATTTTGAATTCAAATTCGTCAAGCTTCGTTTAGAAGTACCTCTGCAGTATATGCTTAGAAGCTCACAAAATTAAGAAAACCAGAAAAAAAATGCTCCACCCAATAAAACAGTTCCTGTCATCATCGACAAAATCTTGTGGGTGTGAAGAAGAAAAAATTCACCTGAAGGCGGAAGAAGAATCAAAGCCGATGGGTTTGAAACTGTGAGGAGACTCCATTTCAACGGAAAAAGCCATTTTAATAGAGACTATATTAAAAAAACTGTATTGGGCATGATACAGATCCTTTGGATGAAAAGAGGCATAAAGTATATATTGACAAACTCTGTATTGCATATAATGCATGTTTGTAGAAAAGAGCTAAGAAAAGCAAAGACTTAAAGTGTGTATTATATATAGTGCATGTTTACACATGCTGCTGTGTAGTACATTAATGCAAGATGCATAGGTGTATTTAAAACAAATCCTATTGCTAGCTAGCATGTTTGATTTGCATTCAGTCTTTTGGGTGATGACTTGTGCTTAAGTATGATGTATTGCTAAGTGCAATATAAGAATACCAAACTGCACGGAAGCACAAATACATTCATCTTCTGATGCGTCTTCTATTTGTGGTCGACTAAGATTTCAAGCATAGAACACAGTCTACGTTTTTTAAAACAAAAGTAAAATTCAAAATAAAAAAAGGATGATTGATTATAGTAAATAAAAGAATGATCAAAACAAAAAGAGTTTCATACCCTCTACTTATGGTATAAGGTAGATTCATAGTATGGTTGCTGTGGAAGGGCAGATTGAAAATGAAGGATAGGGTTAAAAAGTATATGAATATTAACACGAACTGTGAACTATGTGGTAGAGAGACAGAAACGGCAGAGCACCTTTTCTGGCAATGTGAGGAATCTAAATCTTTGGCTGCTTTAGTGATGAAGGACTTCAATATGCAAAGCTATGAGGGATCTGTTGAAGGTTTTGGGGGGGCAGTGCATAAGATACCAGGAGGGAAACAAAGGAAAAAGTGGATTGCTGTATGGGCTACTTGTGTTTATCAAATCTGGAGGTGGAGGAATGCCAAAATGCACCAGCAAAGAGGAGATACTGGGATGCCTACTCAACAAGCTATAGCTTATATAAGAAACTACTTAGAATATATAAATGTGTTGTAGTATGTAATGAGTGTTTGTAGTTGGAAGTTACATCTGATGTAACCTATCTAGACGGTTGTTTTGGTAATAAAGTGTGTGTTTTTTGTGCAAAAAAAAAGTACAATGGTTTAGCATCACAATAGATTTTTAAATAACTCCTACGCTATAGTGGGAAGCACACATAAAATAAGGGGAAGGATGAGATAAATGAAATTCTTCTAAGCTTGTAATCACATACGAACCATCAAATACTAGAATCAAAACACCAAACACCAATCAACAATCAAAAACAAAAACATGAGATAGAATTTAGAAATGATCAGACGAAGAAATTCAGCTTTAGGTAAATAGGATACAATTTTATTACCACCTGAAAATTTTAAACGTATTAAAACACAAACATGAGATGCAATCTCTTTAGGTAATTTAATATTCGAAACCTGAATATTCCATCACAATTCCATAGAAACCAAGTATATATTGTTGGTCTTATAGAATAGTCTAGTCTATTCTATAAGACCAACATATATTCTCATCAAAACCAAAAGAGAAATTACTATTTTAATCCAAATCCAAATAGAACAAAGAGAACAGGTATGCAGGTTTAAAATCAAACTATACACCACAAACTTTTTCAGACACAAACAAACAAGTTACAATTGAGGAACAATTTCAAACAACCAAATATTAGCAAAGAATGAACAGCATGTAGTTCAATTTGAAGTAGAAAAAAAAATAAGTAACCCTTTTTTTTTTTTGAAAAAAACAAATATACACACTAACTTGTAAATTAATCCCAAAAAAAAAAAACAACACATAGCGCTTCGAACAGGCAAAAGAATCGAGACAAAAATGGTGAAGTGGGGATGAAGAAAGAGGTGGGTAGTGTATCGTGTGGGGCGGAGGGCGGCGAGGAAACTTCAATCGGCGGTAGAAGGTAATGGGCAAGTGGAAAGCAAAGGCGAAGAGCGTTAAAATTTAGATGGATAAAGGCTTTTAAAAATGGGCCATTACCCGCTTCAGAAAAGCTTGCAAGTGGGCCGGGTCCTCCCCCTCCGGAAAGCCCTGCGAAATACGTAGTAAGAATTTAGACAATCGGCACCGGCGGCGAATAAACAAAAGAGACGAACGAACTGATTATTAATTACCCCGTCGGAGTAATTGGGAGCTTGAACCTAGACTGATGGGGGTATATTATAGAATACCCCATATGCTCTTCCCCAACATCAAGCACCAGCAATGTCCGTTTCTCTGCTTTTTTGATGGAGTCCGTCATAAATTTTATAAACATCGCCATTGAAGATAACTTCCGCATCGTGCCTGTGGGGAATCTGCACAGAGAAGATACTAGGTTGAAGAAGAGATGAAGATGAAGGGAACTATGATGAACAAAGTATAATGCTGATTACCTGATTGTGAATTGTGATTGTAGTTGCTCCTCAGCAGAGAATGCCGGTGAAGTGTGCGATGCAGCCTGCACGTAGCTGTTAAATGCAGCGCCGGATCCGGGGAGGGGGAGGGGGAGGGGGACCACACTAACGAAAAATCAGTTATGAAAAAATTAGAGGGAATTAAGGAGGAGGGAAGCTTATGGATGTAATTAACTAATTATAGACGAATTTACTCTTGTTTTTATTTAATTTGGTTTTGTTCATTTTTTGATGTCATACTAGAGACAGCCTAGACTCTCTTGTAGTTGAATTTGTTTTTGTTGGATTTAATTTTGTGAATTTTGCCTAAATTTTATCACTGTTCTTTCAAATTCTTTCATCTTGCACGCTTATTTTTTCAATCTAAGAGATTCCATGAATAGTCTTTCACGTCATGTTAACAGTTCATGGTTGATCCTTCAACTTTGAAAATTTGCACATAATTCTTCAAGTTACGTTAGTATTGCTATTGCATGAATGGTCTTTCCATTGATTTTGTCATTAGGTCATGCATTTTTTTAATTTTTCGATTTTAAATAAATCTAAGGAACCTATTCTTCTGCATATAATTGACTCATACTTAATGTAAGTCCATTTTTAATAATAATAGTTACCCTTTCTTTAATTACACTAATTTTTTGAAAATAAAATAAGTATTTTTATTTTAATAAGTTTAATTTTATTACGGAGTAAAAAAAATATCACTACGCCTTAAGGTTTTTTAAATCAAATTTTGGCTTTATACAATTCATATCATGTGGTTGGCTTTTTACCAATATTTCCATTAAAATAAATCTACATAGCAAATAGTATGTAGGACTCAAATGTAAGAAAAAAGAAGCCTCCTCGCGTGCATTTAAAAGGAAAAAAAAAGAACACATGGAATAACAAAAGACCAACCGTGCAACAGTACGTGACTTGACAAACTACCTGTGGGATTTCTACTACTACAAAAATAAGTTTTAGTCACGGTCATTTTTTACCTTTAATTTTTGCATCACTTTTTTACCGATGCAAATGCAAATGATGCAATTGCTCCATATAACAATTGCATTACTCGAAGACGGCATTGACGATGGCGACTGTGATGGAGATAGCAATAGCGAACGAAACCCGGCGAAGATGAAGAGATCGGGATGGCCAAGAAGAAGGAAAATGCACAAACATAGTAAGAGAGAGCGCAGATCTAAATCAAAATAAAAAGGATGGCATCGGTGGAAACGAAGAACAGATGCATAAATTTTTTTTAGCATCGGTCAGTACAGAATAACAGATGCATTTGCTTTATTTAAAAAAATTGAAAAAATTAGGTATTAGCATCAGTTGTTTTGAATAATAGATTCTATTGACCAATTGCATTGATTATTTTAAATAACTGATGCTAATATCCATATTAAATTTGTTATTTTAAATATCAATAGTACCGGTTTTTTATTTGTAACAACTGATGCTATAGACTTTTTGCATCTTTTTTTAAATAACAGATGTGATTGAGGCAATCTTTTTACTTCTTTTTTTAGTATGATGTTCTAAAGTTGAAGGACTAACCATGTAATGAAGGATTATTCGTGAAATTTTTAAAGTAGAAAGACTATTAAGAACCGACGATATAATTTACAAAAATGTTAGTGATACACCAAAGTGTATCCCAAATGTACACTACCCCCTCCATTACCACATATTTTGACATGTAAAATAAAAAGAAATAAATAAATAAAAAATGAGTGATAATGAAGAGGATGATGTACATTTGAAGTACACTAAAATTGTACCCCTAGCATCGCCTATAACTTAACCAAGAATTGTTTATAAAATAAAGCTATTTGTATCCCAAATTTTTTGTTAACGCACCAAGACTTTGTATCCGTGTAAATTTTTGTTAACGTACCAACACTTGTATCGGTGTAAACCATCATCAGAATGTTTGTGTATAACTGTGGTGTACAAATGAGATACCATTTTTAGTGTAAGTGTAGCATGATCCATGTTTATATGATAACATTGTAGATTTGTAGTTAGTTAGTTACTCCCTATTCAAATCCTATCGCAAAAATAGACAAACTTTCAACATTCTTTCATCGATAGTCTAATAAGCAGTTTACAAGTCACCTTCAAGTCATTTGTGCCAGATTATAATTTTATAAATTTAAATCTCATAAATTTAACCCCCATTTCATTTTTCTTCTTTCTTTTAAGTCTCTCCCTCTTTTCCTCTTTTAAGATCCCCCACTCTCTTTCCCTCTTTTTTTTCTTCTTTCTTCCTCTTCCAACTTTTTCATTCTTTCTTATTTCCTTTTTCTCCTTCGATCCACCCTCCCTCCCACCTTTTTCTTTCTTTCTTTTTTCTTACTTCGGGGTATTTTTCATGTTCTGTTCTTCTTCCTTCTTTTTTCTACATCTTTTTCGATCTAGCCCCCTTCCCCCCAAGTACACCACCCTTTTCTTTTTCTTCTTCTTCCTTTGTTTCGTTTTCTTCATCATCACCATTATTTATTATTATTATTATTATTATTATTATTATTATTATTATTATTATTATTATTATTATTATTATTATTACTACGTGTTCTTTCTTTATTCCCGATGGAGTCTAAAATTTATCATTTTTTGGCTTTGTGGTATGATGGAATAAAACAAAATGAATCTCTAAACTTTTTCAATTCTTTTTTTATTAAATAAAGTAGTAGTTCATCAATCAATGCAACGTTCGTTAATTACACTATATTTTTCAGAGGTCAAAGGATTGAACTGTACTTTATTTGAGAATGAGCATCATTTTATTTGAGAATGCGCACCATTTTATTTAAGAATGAACACTACTACGTTATTCGTAAATGAATATTATAATTATATTGAACAAATATGTGAAAATGAATAGTTCGTTATTTCAAAATAAGTACATCTACGTTACGTTATTTTAGAATAAGTACTACATTATCTTAAATAAAAACTTATGTTTGCGCGAGAACGAGTACCACCTTACTTCAAAATGAGTTCTATCTGGTTGTACCTTATTTCTGGTACAACCAGATATACCATATACGCACTCGAGTGGGGCGGGGATTATAAAATTTAAATTTATAAAGATCTAATTTTGCCTCAAATGATCTGAAGGTGACCTCTAAGCCGCCTATTGGAATATCAATGAAAGAATAATGAAAGTTCATGTATTTTTATGGGAGAATTTAGAGTTCGAATAAAAAGTGAAATTACGTCCAAAGTTCATATTCCATTCATGAAAATTTACCCATAATGTTGTATTGCTGCTAATCTTTGTGTGTAATTCGGACTAATTCCTCAATCCTGAGGAGAGTCCTTTGTGTGTTTTGGTCAGGATTCCTTTTTTCAAAGTTCAATTACTACTACTTTCCTTGAGTATTTTATAGTTAATCATTTTAAGTCTTATAATTAAATACTACATCTGTCCCATTGTCTTTGTCCACTTTTGACTTTTGGAACTGTTCATCTAAGAACTTTGACTCATCAGATTCTCTCAATGTGTAGGCCTAAAAATAGTCATGTGTGATCTTGTTTGATTCGTCTTAACATATAGTAGATTATTAATATATAATTTTTATAATTTTTTAATATACAAATTACAAGATAAAATGGATTAAAGAAGTGCATTGGATGGTGTGCCAAAAGGTAAGTGGACAAAGACAGTGGGACGGAGGGAGTAAAATATATATTGTTTATTAATTTAATAAAACAATATTTTGAAAATATTTTATCTAATAAAATTATTTTTATATCAATATTAATTAAGCGTGTGTGGGGAGCATTTTTTTACTACATATTAACTTAAAATCTTTATTTTAACCTTTTATTAAAAATAAAAAAAAACTCAAAAACTTGACTGCAAAAAAAGTTGCATGGAGTGGGTAATCTTGCTGCTTAATACTACGTATATTTGCATGCATCCGTACTTGTTCGGAGCATATTTTTGTTTTACGGAGTATTAATTATGTTAATTACTCCTATTTAGAGGAGTTTAAGTTTGAACTCGTATTTTGAGAATATGACATATGTTTTACTCCTAGTTTAGTTTGTTCCTTCTCCCTTGAAACAATTAGTAATTCTTTTATTAAATTATCAAAAAAGCAATCCAAATTAAATGATATTTAACTTATTATTTCAAATGTCAAATCAATCGAAATAACTCCACATAATTTAAATACAATCCGACACAAATGAGTCACAATACCAATGTTAAATTCGGTAATTTCTTATAGTATTAGCAAGCAAAAGAGAATATAGCAGTAATATATATGAAGTATTAGACAATCGACGAAGTCCAAGAGTAACAATGACTTTTTTCTATTTTACTTCCTCCATTCTAAAACTAAATTTCCCTTTTAGTTTACGAGATTTAATTAAAATTATTTTTAATTCAATTTGTTTGAATATGCTTGTAAAATTTAAAAATAAAATTAATATATTAAAAAAATCTACAACAAAAGTGACATGACTACAAGTATATCAAATGCCTAATGAATGAGTACAATTTTACAATAGGTATTAGTTGGGGAATTAATTTTAAGGTGAAGGCAGTAATATCATTTTTTAACATTTCAATTAAATTACTTAAAACTTAAATGAAACACTTCATTAATACTCTTATGAAATTTAAAAGTAGATAATAATAAAATTTAAAAACACATAATTAAATCAACATTTCAATGAAGTTACTTTTCTTAAACTTTTTTAGCATTTTATTAACCCAAAAAAAAACTTAAAAAAGTAAAAAGTTAATATAAATAGGACGGTTCTCTAGACACAAATTAAAAATGTCATGAAATGACTGAAAGGCCTTACAATATCCCATACAATTGCTACCTCTAGTACCCCTAGTATTTCCTGCTCCACCTTGACCCGAACCTACCTCCACCCTAACATGAAGTTATGATGTCAGGAGAACCTCTCCCAATATAATTAAGCGCTATGCTATACTCAAAGTGTTTTTATTTTTATCTTATTGGGTACAAGCTCAAAGTGCCGTAGCCCGTATGTATCAACATGCTTTAAGAAAATAAATTTTCAAAAGAGTGCTTTCTAATAAGCAATAATTACAAACATGATCTTTTGTAGTTAAAATTTATTTTCTAAATAATCATCTATATAAAAATATCTATTAAATATGGAGTAACAGTTAATATTTTTACAT